TTCCCTCCGTTAACAGTTTGTCTTTGAATTAAGTAAGCTCACATAAGTAGAGACCCGCCTGTCTTCCTATACTTCGTTCCTTAAACTAGAAATGCAAACAGTATCAGCTTATTTAGTGCACTGTGCTCATTGGATAACTCCAGCATTGCTGTTGTCAACCGACGACCTTTTACTATCAGACAGTATTTCAAGTGAACGAATGAACGACCCTGCTGCGCCGGTCGACCAGCTAATTATTCTCTTACTTTCAACGACAGGTCATTTCAGTACCACATCAGGCTCTGATTACAATAAAACTGACCATACACCGTGATCTACTTGGGCAGTTATCACTGCGAGGTTGCAGTTTTTGAAACAAATCATAATTTCATTTTGTCTTCAAAATACAAGTTTTCTTTTTTATAACCATGTCATACAGCTTGAATGTTCATACACGGGCGGCACGCTGGGAATTCAGTCGGACTGACTGCCCTTAGCTGTTTCACAAAAATAACAATTTAAAATAAGAGTTCCAAGAACATATAGTATAGACTGAGGTACACGTTTGATGGAATCAACTCGCCAACATCCTTCTGGAAAAAACAGGGATCGTACTTTCTATTGGCCATGGAGTTGCATCTTGTTAAACTTCATCAATATCTTCGCCCATACAACCATCAACACGCCCCATATAAGTAAAACGATACTGATGAATTAGCCTTACTTAAAAGTAGGCCTTTTGTCTCCTAGGCATTTCCCCGCAAGAGAGTACACTTTTGAAGTTTTGAAGTTATAGTTGAGTTGTGATAGACATTGATTTAGTGTCAAATTCGACTGTCATATCTGTGTACGTTTTTTCTAGAATGCGACAGTGTTAATGTGTGGCTGCTTGGACCCAGCTGTGCTCAGCAGTGTACAGAGAACTCAAACATCAGACACATCATTCAGCGGAGAACGCAGTTTTGAGCTGGAAATCCTAGATGTGCAAAGGTGACATGAAAAGTGCAACAGACATCTATTTCTCCCTGCCCTGGTTTCTTTTACCCGTAACATCGAGAAAGGTGCTACTTTTTACAGCAAAACTACTCGATCTACCTTTTCTGGGTACATCTGCCAGCTTTCAGTACTATGTTGAACTCGTATGCGCGAGCAGCAATATATCCCCTCTAACGGCGAGTTAATCACGTCGTTGGTAAGCGGCTCCTAGCCAAACGGTAGAGTAGGCGGAACTATTTGTTGGAAAGTCAAGGATTTAAACCCCTCTTGGGTTTCATGGGATGCGTACGTCTGATGATGTTTCCCGATAAAGGTGAAACGGCTGACCAGTCTGTTCTGTTTTAAGTATAGACCAACTTCATTTACAGTTCGGAATACATATTAGGAATTTCAAAATTTCCTGAAAATAAAACAAGCCAAAAGCGTGAACTACTAGTCACAGACAGTCAATCTGAAAACTGAAATATTTAAACATCGCGGAATAATTAATGTATTAATTGAGTTCCATTGATTTCTCTCGCTGAAGCAACACTGTCATCTTGAATATCGTCCAATGGCGTGAATCTTTACCATGATTTTTAGACAAGGGCTGGCATCAGAGACGAAATCCAAAATTTACGACGGAATTATTCGAAACAGCTGGAGAAAAAACGCAAAACGCGAATAAATAGTAATAAAAAATAATTGGATCTCAAATTATACCGACTGGTCAGTAGCTATTTGCCTTAAGGTTTCAGGATATGTGTTTTTAACATTATTGTCAGGCATTTTTATCGTGTGTTTCTATGAAAATGAGTAACCCCCTGCGTGTGTATTTCAAAAGGGGTGGCAACGCAATTACACGAAACAAGATTGGGACTGACCAAGCAGTCATCTTAGGAACAATCGCCACTGAATTCGTTCCTGACAGTAATTCATTTTTTACAGCAAAGCTTCATCAAACCATTTGAGATAATTATTATTTTGGGGGATTTGTAAACCAAGCACCCAAGTCGATTCGGTTAGAAAACGGCTTCTAAATTTGTATTTTGGGGGGCGGTCGGATTTTGAGGTATCTTGTGTCAACGCCTTTTAATTGTGGATTCGCTGTTTTTGATCAGTTACAACTTTCCTTTGATTTCGTCCAAATGTTTCGTTCATTTGTTTTGATTATCCGTTATTATTGACAGCGGCGTCTATCGGAGGCTACTTCATAGATTTCAGCCGGCGTGAGCTCCTCCTCACACCTTCTTCACTGAAGGCTCCACAAGGCAAGCTGACTTGAAACCGCTTTTGCACACTCATCAGTTCTGCAACTTTCATTCTATCAACAGTGAGTGATCACCTGTTTTACACAGGCTTTGACGAGGTCACTGCAATTGGTGTGTTAGATATAGCTACCGGTTTTCTGCTGCGGAAGGCGATCGTATGTTTGCATCAGTGAAGAGAACACAGTGTTTCCTTTTTTAACGTCCATCATTTTCTTGGCTGCCTTTAGTTTTCTTCCAGTACTTGGATATGATAGACGTGTGTTTCTACACACGCTCTACTAAATCTGGCCACGACTACCAATGCCCTTTTCGGTCAGAGCTAATTAAAGTGAACACAGATCGCGTTGCTCGAAGTATGTTTTAGTACTTCACTTATAGCTTTCATCTGCTTAAATTTATGGCGAGATATTGCTAGATCACATATCGTTTTGGCAGCTTTAGAGGACACTACTCAATCGCTAGCCAAAGAATAATTCAGATGGTTCCAGAGTCAGTTAGCTCCTGACACTCGGGAAAATTGAGCATCTTACCACTCTCCTATACCGTGCATTCCTAAACGCACAGATTGGACTGTAAGTGTAGGAGAGTCTGTACAGCCTGCATTGACAGCAACAAGACCTAAGGCGACGCTGTCCATCAATAACTATCTCAATTCGGTTTAAAGTAAGCAGAACAATCGTGGGAAGATTCCACAATGCACCGCTAAAGGCCAACGGAGTTCACGGTTAACAAACCTAACAGATTCACTTCTTCTAGTTACCAATTCAGAAAAGTATAACAAAAGTGCGCAAATGTGGGGAAAGCATAAGAAGAGGTTTGATACCCAGAGATCAAGATGTATTTGCACTAAAAGGCTGTTGAAATCCCGCCAGTCGTTTGAGGCTTCTAACTCAAATTGATCACAGAGCCGACCCAGCTGTTTCTGAGTAAAAAAACTTAATGATTGATAGAGCTACCGCGGATCAGTGCACCTGGGAGAAACACAGAAGAGTTCGCCTCTAAAAAAGCATATCAAGTCCCAAATTATTAAACACCTTGCGGGAAACTGCCATCGTAGCGCCTTATAATAGATGCACCCGGCCAAAAAAGATCGGCTTTGGCTAAGCAAGAGTTATTCAACCAAGAGGAAGCTCCAATGCTTACAGCGGACAAACGACCTACATTTTACATTCCGGGTAATCAGGAATCAGCTCTAGAATCAGATCACATCTCTACGATTAACTTCACACCAATAAGTGAAATTAACTGTTCAAATATTTAGAAAATAACCCGAGGCATGAGTTTTGAATATCCCAGTTCGCGCTCGTATGATTTCAGGTCAAGCCATATTTAGCCGAAATTTTGGGGCACAATACACGTCTTCGCTGTAAAGCTGAAACTACGCATGCACATATTTGAGTAGAAGGAGAGTTTCTTCAACTGTATTAATAACGGTATGTTTGGCTATCGCGTTAGAATTCCACCAGGCTGCTCCCTCTCGCTACCAAAGGTAAACAAATGCTGATATCCTCGGCAAGACACAACCTAATAAGACGTCCCTGAGCTATCATTTTCAAGTTTGACTATGACAGTATAAATGTCCTCAACCCAGAGTGAGTTAAGATCCCANGCAGGCACGAAATGTTCTTTAGATATCTACGCAGAAGCGAATGATCGGAGGACTGTAAACAAATTCACGCTATCTTTGCGGTGCACCTAAATATTACGTGACCGTGGTTTTGAAGCCGTAAAACTTAAAAGGACATTACAGAATGCATTTTGTTCCCAGTGCAGAATATCGAATATATGTAGCGCAGTCCAACACCCTTTTATTCCTGACTTACCCTCACTGGACAGAGAGTTCAGAGCCAGGTCAGGCAGTATCATGCGAGAATATGTGGCTTAGATAAACCTCCCATTAAGCCATGCTTATACGATATAAATCGGGGTGAGATGGACCAAGTGGTTAGAGCGCGAATTTACTCACCGGAAGGTCCATGGTACGGACCATTCGACTTTCGACCTTTCGACTTCCTCTATCTAGGCTTGGGTGACCTGGCAGTATCCTAGCCCTCGTGCCCTCTTCGTGTGGCATGGCAGCTAGGCACCGAATGGGTGGTAAGGCTGAACGATGATGATGACACGATATACATATTTATGTGTCTGTTAAGCTGATGCAGTTGCACAAAAATTAAAGTGCCAGCACTGCGCCGATTCCCTTCGTCCCATCGAGTGTTGTACAGCATTATTTTCTGTTGCAAGCGAAACACTACGGTTACACAAGAGCAAAGCACTGGCATTCATACCGATGGAGGTGTTTACCCAAGAGAAAATACACAGTGAAATGCTCAGCCTTGCTGGATCCAATATTTAGAAATAAATAATCAAGCTACAACCTAACACCAGATTTACAAACAGATTGCGATGTGAGATCCAAATCAGAGTTTTCCTACTTACCGGACGACCACTATTTCATCCAGGCTATCGCTGCCACAAAAGAATTCGACACTTCAATAGGTATTCAAGTTTTGGTCACACGGAATATCAACATATTTGTATTATGCCTGTCAATGAGACCCTTTCATGACATTAGAATTGGGAAAATGGTTGGGCGGACTACCAGAGGCGTTCTGTTTCTGTTCATTATGAATAGGAACCATAATCAAAGTACAAAATTAATTCAGAAAATTATCTTCCATTGACTGTTCTTCATTTCATCCAAATTTACTAAGCAACAGGGGCGAGAAGAATAGGCGATGACCTAAAGACGCTCTCTGGAATGATTGGAATGACTAATCACAGACGGGTGATTATCACCCCTTCCGCCTTGGCAGCTGTGGCTTCATTCGACAAGTTTACTGAACTGAAATCTGTTGTGGACCATGTGCGGTCCACCACATTTTTCCATTTCCACTTGAAGTTGCAAGTTTTGCAAGTGAATAATTCCATTAGAGTCTCCCGAAATTCGGGCATAAATGCCACATAGATAAAGAACTCGCATGCATAGTTGATTGTATCAATCGAACTGCACAGTTTGGATAGTTCCACAATGCGAGTAGCATACTCAGGATTTGTGTTGTCATATCCCAAAATGTATACCTGTTGTCGTAGAACAATTGCCACCACAAGTGGAAACGATATTGAAGTAAACAGTATACTGATAACCAGATGTGTTATTACTTTTCCAAATTCCACAGCGGATGCCTTGTCAAAGTCTCCTCTAATTTTACTCCGGTCGATGACTGTTTTCATCCGCACCAAGATGCACAAGCTGGTAATAAAAACTAGCACAGATGGGACCAGTGTGGCTCCAACAATATACAAATAAAGAACATACTGTACTCCTCTAGCAAGTGGATTCAAATAACGGCACGTATAGGTCCCGTCGTCCTGACTAACCCGGTCAACATAAATAAGCTGTGGGATGTTCATGACCATACAGATAACAGAGCAGATGATTATCCCTATCCGAGTCCACCATATTCCAGATTGTGGAGATACCGTATTGTACACTGCGTAGACGCGATCCACACTGAAGACTATGAGAACAAAAGCCCTTGTGAGTGCTGAGCATTCTGTGAAAAAAGTAGTGGTTTTACAGCTGAAAGACGATAGTGTGTCTGGCTGCACGTCTATCCGACATTCTGTGATCCAGGAGAGGCCCCGTCCAACAAAATCATCTAACAGTGCGTTAGTGATAAGCTGCACGTTGTAGATCACCATTAAGGCCATGGCATAGTAGTTAAAACGGCATGGATTCCGTTTATTCATCACATAGAACACGACGAAAGTTAGGATGTTTGCTGGCACACCAATAAACCCAAGTATCGGTGATACATAAGCCCTAAATTGGTTTGTCATCAACTGTTCATTGGTGATATTTTCCCAGCATTCCATTGAGGCTTTAGAAAACCGCGATAATACGAATTCCGAATGCCCACTTTGAACTTACGGTGGATGTTGTATTTTGTAATTCATGGTCTCTTTAATGAAAGTCAGTGATTGGTCTACTATCATTTACCTAAGGTTGCATACTATTCGCTGGGAAAAATAGCTGATGTCACCGCATATGGTATCATTCTCTTATTCATAATATAGTTAAAGCTAAACAGTGACTGGGATTGGCTAGTGTAACACAGCCAAGCAATCCTCCGTAGAAGTCGGACAAACAAGTGGACAAGGTAGTAGTCAGAACAACGCTGTTCACTTGTTGAAATGATCCTGCATCACTAACGCTATTTAAACATGATAGTCGGATGGTAAGTCGGTCACCTTGTGCCACACAGATAGTATCGATTTGTCCGGTGCACCCAGCCGTCTAGTGATACGGCATTGCCACGTGACTGTGAGTTCACGGTTGCCGCGGGATGCAATCAGTGACTGACGGGGTAGCAAAAATGAACTCAAGTAACTCCACTAGCCAGCTAGTGGGTCTTTTCTAACAACGTTTCTTATGCAGACTCCCCTGAAAAGTCTATTTTTGAGTCGCGCGGGATCGCCACTGGGATACAAGTCGCACAAGCAACCCTTCGACCTAAGGCTAGCTCACTTTGTAAACACTGGTCAGTTTAGGATATCCCGTGCTAGGACTCCGGATTACTTGTGTGTAGTCGCTGACTTACGCACAATCCGATCCTTGTACTCAGGCTGACAGCCGTATGGTTGTGAACTGAGAGATGTTAATGTGCCTTTGATTCTAGTGCATGAAAAGCCCTACTTACGGACAGACAACTGGGAATAGCATGAAGCTTTCCACGTGGCTTAGCTTATCTAACAGTCAACGAGAGTAAGATTCTTCTATAAGACCTAAATCAGGATCACTCTCCCTGAAATTCCGGTGAAAAATTAAGCACTTGATGTGCTAGTCATCGGAAAGATCCAAAATCTGCAGAAACGTTTATCTGTGAGAGCATTTTTCTGTGCTCGCGAAATATGTGCATCTGTATAAAAAAAAATTAGTAGACAATAGGCTATCCATGCATTTGCTTGATTTTTTCCATTTGCTTACAATTTTATAACGTAAAAATGTTCTCTTTTCACTAAGGATTACAGATTCCTCCACCCCCTCCCCGATTAAGTTGTGTCGATGGCATATAAGCTTCCGGCAGCCATATCTGACAAGCGGAAAATGTGCACATCTCAACTGTCCTGAAAAAACCCCGACTGATGACTATGTGACTGCACTGTTTTGAGACTAATGGACATAGAATGAAACCCTTATCTCTGAATTTTGTTGCAAATCTTGAGGGAATTTGACGGGCATGAAACTTTCTAAACATTTCCTTGACATCAACTTATTAGAATATTGCTGGACCGTCAAACGGAGATCGAATTCAGTCAGAGTAGCCAACTATCTTTTATGGTCGATGACTGCCTGATTGTTAGTTTTCGTAGGTGGCTGCAAAATTTCTCAACATAGGCCAAATGGACGGCAGTCAGTTTAGAAAAAAGGATGGTCAGTTGCACTAGGCGAAAGAATGAAGGCGTCTTTACCAGGCAGTGGCGCAGCAGGTTTCAACCCCAAAAGATAAGTGTAATGCTTATTGAAATTGATGCTCGTCCTACTATGCCGTAGAGGAAATACTGTTGAGCATTATATTCTCTACCTGAGAATGACATGAGACAACCTACCCACTTCTAGGTTCTCTTCTAGCCCGATATTTTGAAGCAAAACATGTAGGTTCTTAAACCCATCGGTAATGACCATACAGAAAATTTGATCGCCAGATTTGCTGAATTCTCATTGGAGCACAATAGATTCTGAGGTTAAGCCCAAGATGTTTGAATCATGTGTGACTCCTGTATCACTTTTTGTTTACTTAATAACCATGATTGTGACTCCGGAACGCAAATTTATTTTACTGTATTATATCTTCCTCCAGTTTAAGGCCTAAAACGCAAGTACGGTTGCGTCAACCTTGACGCACTTGACTTTCAGACAACTTTCAACTGCGATGTCGGGAATAAACACCAGTGAGAGAAATCCAGCGTGATCAAGCTGCTGAACTGTTGTGTTCATTTGCCTTCTTACACTGTGTAGAATATTTCTACTTATTAGTCAAGATGGTTGAATTGAGTCGAATACCAGTGACATTACACATTATTTTGTAACTTATAGTAAAATACATTTCCCTATGGAATTTCCCACATTAAATAAGGACTTGATGGGCACCATTGATCTTTTACAATTGAATGTACTCCATTAATCGGATGGCAGCACGCGTTGTCCTAAGGAATGTTGTGCCTAAACAATTTGAGTTATCCGTTCACTGTTCGCGTTGTTTCGTTTCTCCTGTAATTTTTCCGCTACCTCCGCTGTTTTGGTCAATAGGTGCAACTGGTCCTTCACGAATAATAGGAAAAACCGTAAACTTTTCAAAACACATCTTCACTTGGACCGACGTAACGCCGTAGATGGCGATTCCCTTCATCGCTTTCAGTTGATGCAAGTGCAGGGTAACAAATACTGGGACTGCTAATCTGTTACGTTGTGGTTTTCATACGGCAAAGCATAGTCATGAGAGTGACTGAATCAGTGCGTTTATGCACAGATGGATGACTCGTATTCTCTCATTCGACCATATTTTAGAGCATACGGTCTGTCCCGGTCATTCTAGTGATGGACACCGATAGCGGAGTGAAGTCAGATAATAATTCAATGTGGTCATCTTGAGATACGAAGGAAAAAACCACGTGTACCATAATCATTGGCGCGCTCCCAGTACTGTAAATCATACAGATCCGTCCTGGTTTAATGTGATTCAGGAACAACATGGTCCTTCAGACGACATGTGGATGGAGAGCGAAGATCACAAACAACATCTCCTGTTCACAAAAAGAGGAAATGGAAACCTAATTTTGCTCAAGGTTTCGGGGCGAGTCATACTAATCACATCGCTCAAGATTGGACAAGTTCGCCCCTTCAGACCTTACATTTCAGATGCGCCCAATGTGCGCTGGTGGACTAGTGGAAACAGGTTTGCCTCGCATGTTAGGTGTCCGGAGTTCAAACCCAGGCACGGCAATAGGATATGCACTGCTCATGAGTTCTAATAAAAGCGGAACTCGAGTCCAGTGCTTCCCTTTGATGTGGACTCACCGGAATAATAACGCCAGAACAGAAGGACGATTGATCCAACGAGAGTGATGTGCATGTGAACAATACACATCCCGCAAACCCCAAACCATACATTCATATAAATGCGTTGCAAGCAGCACACAGTCCATAACTAGCCTAGATAGGCAAATTACTAATGATATGAACACATTCCTTCGAACCTATATTGCTCAGTATGGACAATTGTCCTCCACAAATAAACAATGGCAATCCGAAAGTGAGAATTATCTACATGCGAAAAAATCAGAGATCGTAAAATTTTTTAACGTTATCATTTGGCTACCACGTTATCGGCTTATTCAGGTGATGCCTGGAACTCAATGGACATGCTGGCGGTAAACACACGCACAAACCACCAGAACTGCTTGGGAATATTGGAATTCAAAGATTATTTCAACGACTTGTGTCTTAGGGCCTTAGGTTGACAAATTTTCAGGCAACGTGTTGCATGTCAATAACAATGCACTGGCTCTCAGATCACAAACCCTCTCTAAGTTTTGCCGTCAAAATTAAAGTGAAGACTTCTTTGATGCCCGAAGTTTGTTTAAGGTAGCACCCATTCTTAAATGAACGGCTGATTCAGGCAAAGCCCTCGCATGTTCCTGTCAGGGCGCGCCCAGACAGACAGAAAAGTACATGTGCAGAGAGTAACGCATCCCCAAGGTCACCATCGCTTCGACACGTCCGGAAAGTAGGTGAGTTGGCGGCTCTCACCAAACGGCGTAGCAACACACGACCAGCGTAGTGGGCTTGAGAATGTTCACGATCGGAACACTACCATTGACTGTACGGAGCGAACTAGTGAACGACCATATTTGGCCAATTAGCCATCCTATATATTTACGCAGAGGCTCTGTACGTTTTGTCCTGGCAATACGCTCATGTCCCCCAGTTCTCTGTCTTCTCCCTATCGCGTAGTCTGGCAGGCGCAGTGCAGGCGTAACCAATAGCTCGGCCACCACACAATACAACTGTTCTATATATAAACGAAAGTAGAAGTGAAACTTAGGATCTGCCCGCAAGGTTGTTTTGTCGGAGGCTGGCAAATGAATCTCCTGAGGTGATATTGCTACATGATTGCTTTCAACGATTCGACGCAATAATCTACTTACAGACTTATCAGTCTTGAAACTATCTCACAAAATAAACAGTAGAGAATACTCCTAAGGGACTGCTATGAAATATATTGTAGCCACTTTTAGTCAGTTCTTGAACTCTTAAGCTCATCCCAAAATAACTTCTTGCCGCTTATGTAAAGAGAGGGTGTTATCACAGCTAGCCAAACATTCTCCAGACGCGATCCAACATGGTGTGCAGGTTGGACAGACGGTCCGTTGAGACCAACATGCTTCCTGGGTTTCCTGAGTCTGATCACTGGAGGTGATTAACGTCCTTCAGTAATCTATCCATTATAATGTCAGTAGTTTCGTACGAATGATCCTTATGAACCTATTGAACTTTCCTATTGTATTTATCCTACCTACAGAGAAATGCGCCCACAGAGCAAATTGATTCCAGCAGATCGGTGACCCTTGTGACCGCGTTTCCAGTTCGCTTGATTTTTCGGACGCGTCCCCTAACACCTGGTGTTAACAACGTAGGATAGTCCAGATTGAATGAAAATTTTTCACTTTTGTACATTGATCAGGTATTGTATGTTACATCTAGATTCTCAGACCAACAAGTTTCTTGTGACGGTTCTTTTAACGTGACAAGGGAACTAAGATGAACAAAACATACGCTAAAAGTCGATGAATCCTGTTATAGGCGTTCTTTGGTG